CGTCGGTAACAAAGTGTTGTATCATCTGCAATGGTTCGCACCATGAGCCACGAATCGTTCAAACGCTTACCTTTTTAACAATGGGCCCAGCAACGAAAGCCTGAAGGATTATTTAGTTTCTGAGGTGAAATTTTTAGTTCCAAATGCCTACCGGCATACGATTAAAGATTAGCTGAGTAGGACACTGGTCATCGGGATATCGCGTTAAGGTCATCGAAGAAATACATACGAAATACAGATACGATACGACATCAGATCGTGCCAGACATCGCATCAAAAGTGGCCGTTATCCCAAACTCTGGGGGCGTTGAACTCTGGTTCTATCGGCGGCTATTATTGAGATCGTGCCAATGCGAGACCCATGTTTCTCGAGAAATGCATAAAACAGATTTGACCGACCGACCGCTGGAATAAGGGGCGAAGAAGAAGAAGAAGGTTGCTCGCTTACCGAGATGTTGTGAACTATATATTCGTTGAAGGCGATCGCGTCGGCGGTCGTCTCGACTTTCAGAATGTTTGTGTGGTCCTTGGCGGTGACAATCACATGGGCAAGGCCGTAGTCGATGACCGTGCGGCCGGGAGTGGCTCTGGCCTCGTTGCCGCTTTCCCACACGTCGTAGAACAGTTGCTGTTCGACCTTCGACGGCGCGTTCACCGGCGTGTAGAGGTAAACGGCATCGGAGTTGTGGTCCAGGTAAAAGCCGCCGAACGACAGACCGATGGTCACCAGCACGGGCAAAACGATGAAGGTCCAAGGTCGAAAGCTGACGTAGCGGGCGAAGACCCTGAAGCAGTAGCTGAGCCGCTTCTCGAAAAAGTCGAAATGGCAACCGTTGCCGCACGAACACTTCGTTCTCTCCTGCATCGTCGAAGCAGCAGCAACAACAACAACAACTGCGCGACAGAAGTTGCACAGCAACAAGACGACGAAGACGACGACCACACGTCACTCACTGCTCACCTCAGAGAACAAACGGGGGGCAGTTTATCGACCGATCGATCGCTCGCTCGATGCCTACAGTACACAACACAATGGTGATGGGACTGATGGATGGCGCGGGCTGCGTGACCTGAGGGACGGATCGACCGGCCACCGAGCTGTTCAGCGGTTGTCGTTGAGACGACGAGCGTCGACGACGTTCAAAGGC